CATTGAAGAATGTGGCCTCTTCTGGGGACACCGAATTGGGGGCATATTTTCCCTATCCTTATGCCTGCTGTGAGCTGTCCTCAGGGCTCCTCCAAGGGACTTGCATGAGAGGCAGCGGACATTCTCCCTCACCAGAAGAGCACACGATTTTGATCTTAATGTTGTGCCCTGAGGATCTTGGATGCCGTCCTTGGTCTTCTCCCAAAGGTATTTGAAGCTATCATTGTGAACTCCTGGACATATCACATACCGCTTGTCAACCAGGACACAGATCTCCTGCACACTTTTACCTCTGGCCAAAACGTGCAGACCATGGTTTGGCTTGAGAGGTTGACCGAGGACCTCAAAGTGGATTTCACCTTCATTGGCAGCAGACATTTTGATAATTGTTCTCAAATCTTCCGTTACTTTTCCACAGTTGAAGCCACCAGCTGTTTTTTTGTAGATCCAGTCAGTTGGGAAGTTCACTGAATCCTTGTGGAGCAAAGACAAGAATTTGTTAAAGAACCGTACCACAAAATGACACAAAGGAAAGTCATGGAAAAGTCAGGTAAAAAAATGCCATGTAAGTGTCCCCTTCTCTCACCTGAGCTCTGACTTGTGTAAATCTGGGAATGGTATGTGCAGATTTGTTTCTTCCTGAAGTGGCAACTGATTCAGCGTTGTGGTCATGGAGTCGAATTCCCAATGTCTGAAGCAGAGATAAAGGTGGTGTGAGCTTTATTTTGATTATTTTTTTTTTAATTTCATTAATCTGAATGCCTTTACCTTCTTTGCCTTTTCAGCTTGAGCAGGACCTTCAGCTGCTGGAGTACATGCTTCATCTTGTGGTGGTTCGCACAATGCCAGCAAGCCTTGAACAGCATCCATTTCTTGAATGCCATGACTGTGTCCTTCATCTTCAACAGCAGGCATCAGCTGCTGCAGCTCGGTGTTCACTAAATCAAGGATAAATTTAAACTTAAAGGTAGGGGTGGACTGTGTAGTCAGCTTTGAGTCTGTCAAACTTTAAGGTAGAATAACACAAGTGAAGTGACCAGTATCTATGAAGAGTGAAATGATATCGGTTTCATATCTGTCTGGTCTTGTCTTTAATTTCCATGAATGCTTTTCCTTTCAATTTTCAAAGGTTACCTTAATTTCTAAATCTTACCTGGATGAATGTCACTGATTTCCAACAAGTCTGCCGTGTATGATACTTCAGCTAGTGGCTCAGCTGGTGGAAGCATATCAGTACCTATGTCGTGGAAAAATTGGAACAAATTAGGATGCTGAAAGGGAGCTGCTATGTGATTGTGAAGTATTGCACTGTAAGCTCATACCAGAAGAGTCAATGTCATCAAGCAGAAGTAAAGACCTCATAGCTGCAGCGAGTGGTTGTTCATCAGCTGGTGAGCTGGCTATGGAGGTCTGTGGCCAGTGAATGTCAGAAGTTTCTGACCCATAATTGCTCATGTCAGGACTGGCAGTGCAAGAAGTAGTATCTAAAAAATTAAGGTACACATAGTAATCATAATCAAACTCCAACAAACTCAACCTCATTTTGCTGTTTCATACCAGTAAGTCCTGGGACAGTCATTGGAGTGGATGTAAAAGTAGGGCGAACTGCAGGAGCAGAAGGTGTTGCCCAGTTGAAAAATGTTGGCACATCAGCAAGTGAAAGATTATCTAGAAAATGAAAGAACATGACCATGATACCAAACTCTACTTCTGATTAAGGATGTTGTATTACCCAACAGTTTGTATTACCAGCAGGTTTGTCTTTCATTGAACACATTGAAGACAGCTCTTCTGAATGGTCCATTACTAATTGAATATTATTTGTTTCAGATACTGAAGTACCACCTTCAACAGGGCAAGCTGAAGGAGCCGAAGATGTTGCACAGTTGTTTGATGGTGCCACATCAGCAAGTAAAAGATTATCTAGAAAATAAAGAAACATGACCATATACTAAACTCTACTTCTGAATGAATTATGTGTTGAATTACTGAATTACTGAACAGTTTTGTATTACCAAGAGGTGTGTCTCCTAT